GATGATCCACTGGCCTCCTCAGCATATGTCCATACCATCGCAGACGCTGTTCCCTCACCTTCAGCTGGACAGGGGCAGTCTGCATGACCGCTCTGACATCCTCGTTTCTGACCCTGTCCAGCCGCGTCCAGCCGCAGGCCCATCTCAGCATCCTCATCTCAGCGGAGTGAAGCTGCCTTTCGTGATTCTTGTTCAGGGGCCAGCACTCGCTGCCGTATAGCATCGCAGGCCTTACCACTGTCCGGTACACCTTCCCTTTGAGCGTTCTGGAGCACCTTCGATCGCAGAGGATTCCAGTGGACTCCCTCCATTTCATCCATGCCGCGTTGATTCGTGCCTTCACTGCCTGATCCACACTTCCGTCGGCTGCCAGATCGCTCCCAAGGTATCGGAAGTCCTCCACTCTTTCGATGCATTCCCCACTCCCGTCCACAATCACAATGTTTACCAGCGGTAGCCGAACGATTAACTGAACCAGGGTATCTCGCTTTGACTTGTGACGATTTGTTGTCATAGCAAAACTATGAAGTTTCTGTCTGTGCACGGTTCCAACAGCAACAGGCGCTCCTGCCTTGGTAGTTTTGACTACGGAAATGCTACACCTGTTATCAACAGCAGCCAAAGGGTTAGGGCGATAATCAGCAACAGCGCACTAATTAACGTGTTTTAGAACAACTTCTGAGTCGCAGCTGTCATTTTCAAAATCAAGAGTTTGATTGATAATCAGCAGGAGCATTCCAGAAATCGAAAAGCATCCCACAATTGAAACACGCATTCGTTGAGACGGGGTGGAGCAAGGTTTATTTTAGGAACGATGTTCATAAAAACCTTCCTTCACCCCTTACAATCCAACGTTCATGCTTATGATTTCGTGCCGCCCTCCGCCCTTCTCCTCCAAATAGTTGTTTGATTCTGATTCGTTTATAAGGACCAGATGGAAGCCTCGATCATGGGTGAGGAGCATGGCCAAGCGTGCGTTGAGGAATCCGCGATATTTTGACAGGGAAGGAGGTCGTATTCAGTCCACTGAGAGGAGAGGGTAAGCATTAGGCAAAGGTGTGGTAAGCTGGTCGAAGGAGTTGGAGGCGCTGTAGGTACTAGGAATTTGTGTCTTATTGTAACAAATGTATCGTTCCGAAATGACAGGAGGAATTCATGATTAAACAAGAAATGCGGTTTTCAGCGACAGATTCTTTTTCACAATTGTTGGGAAGCAAAAAGCTTGGGGAATTCCGAAAATTCCGAATCTGCTTTCATTCTGCAGAAATTTGGCCCCTGAAAGAAGCTATATCCATTTGAAAAAAGTCGACGCCAAGAAGGAGAACCTTCAATTAGTACTCAGGGCTCAAATCTTAAACGGCCATTTTTGACATGCTGAACGGATCAAGCCTTTTCGTCAACAGGTAAATTGAGAAAATCTTTTTGAGAAATTTTATTCAATTTGCAGACGTGACGAATTTGAGGGAAGTTACGGCCTTGCAATGTGTAGAAGTCGCGTTTCTCGAAAATTTCCAGGTTATTTTTGGAAAAACCGCTCTTAACGATAATAAGCCGCTTTTTGTCATCTGTATGAATGAAACCATTTGAACAACCGTAGATTTAAAGCAAATAATTTTTAGTTTAATATGCGTGGAATTATTTTTTCAAGGATTTGACAATTGAAGGACGACATGGCTCGAGGAGTGTACGACTCAGCACGCCCATTGAGAAAGTTTCTCTCGCTAAAATCAATCCTAACAATTGCGTTTTCCTCAGTGCCCAACTTAATGTTTAGACAGTGGAATAATAAAACTTGTTGAGAAACTTCAAAATCTGACTTCAGAAAGAAATTCAAATTCGCCCATTTTGAACAACATTATAGCCATATGAATAGGTATAGAAACTTTAGCGTCTTTCTTTAGTAGATGAGCTGTTCCGAGGTCAAAATCCTTGATCAATCACTTACTCAGCAGCAATATTGAAGAATAATTGGTTTTTTTCAGCTTCATTTCTTTGTTGGCGGACTTATTGTTAATGACCTATCTTTAACTTTTTCTACAACACCTGTTGAATAACTTTTATTGCGGAGGGTGGGCTGCAGAAGGGTGTTTTTTATACGAAAGATTGCGAGGCAGATTGAACAGCATTTTCATAGTTGGCTTGTGAAGAGAGTCGTTCCATGAACTTCTGTCGCTGGGGAAAAGTGGAAGGAGGGTCGTATTTCGAAGTTTCCCTCGACGCTTGGCTTGGCCCTGGTCGGAAGTACTAGCTCAAGCGAGAGAGGTTGCGTAGCTTGTCATTGTAGGGAGTAACGATTGGAGATAAATCTTTTCTTATAACTTCTGAGTTAAAAATAGCTCTGTTATGTTTTCCTCTGGCACACTAGTGTTTCGTTCCGACGATTATTACACAGTTATCGTCCTGCGATTCACGTCAGCAGTCATTATATTATCGATGTGTTGCCAAAGTTTCCGCTGATTTCATAACACAACAAAAGTTCACTGTAACTGGGATTTCCCAAACACACCACTAATCGAACGATCGCTGCGCTTCTTCTCACCTCTGCCCGAAAGGGCAGCTATCGCTCTCTTTTCGAAAACTAGACAGATCGAAACCCAGATAATGAGAACATACAATGTCGAGAAAGCTGAAGCTTGGTTCGTTTAGGGCCTGATGCCTGCCTGCGTAGTTTTTGGGCTAGCCAAGGCAGCGGATTCGAAGTAATACATACGTGCAACAATCTCTACGATTCATGGCGCTGCATTTGTATTTCCTGCAGTTCTTCAATCGAAGTTCGAATGGCTTATGGATATATTAAATTTGCTTTATTGCTCACTTGGGCAGCCTACTTGAATGCACTTTCAAATCCAATCATCGTGAAGTGTAACGAGTAAAATCCCAGGGTTTATGTGAGGACGCACGTTTCAGCGATTTCCTCCTATAACCACTTTTTCACTCCAAGATTCTTACAGAGTATTCGAATAAACGACATAATTACTAATAGCACACCATAATGATTAGTAAATGACCGATAGGCTTTCCAAGGGTCCCGAGCAAGGCTCGCCACAATAGTGAGCGAAGTCATACCCCCGTATTCAGTTGTGAGCTTAATGCAGCGCTAATTTAGGACCAAGAGTTCAGTTAAAGGATAGTCAATTAACGCCAAATGAGTAAAGGGCGAAGAGTAAAGAATGACGTAAGCGTGACGTAGAAGGACACAACGGGTGAAGATCGCGAAGCCAATCACGTACGGAACACTAACCTAGGGGGAAATACTAAATGAACATGAGCTGCAGGTTAATTTAGAAATTAATCTGCGCAATCAGTTCTTTCTACAGGCTCAATAAATGGAGCACACTTACGCGTCTCAAGTGTTGTTTAGTGACGGCCATTGTAGTTTCCAACAACTTTCTGCGGGCACTAGTCAAGATGTGGGAACGACATTCCAGTCGAACATCCCCAGGTAACCACTAATCAGCTGTTGTTGTGTTTTTTAGAACCAACATGGGCAAAACTTTTGTGCACCCTACATATATCTAGCGGCTATAGGTACAGCGTCTAGTGGTTGGTTATATGAATTTACTAAGACACCGAATTTCCTGATGATATTGTGAAGAATCTTGGTGAACAACTTGAAATCGCCGTTTTCAGTAAAGTGCTCAGTAAAAGTGGTTAGAGTCGCGAGTCCCCAAGCTTTTGAGGCAGGGACACCCTTTTTAGAGTGGGCTCAATTCATCTACTCTCGTCATTCTCGTTGTCCTTTTAGAAGAGTCTCATGGGAAAAACTCCCAGGCAGATAATCGATTCGGCATTTTCCGTCCCTGACAAGATGAAGTGGGTGG